AGTCCTAAGGGGGCCCCATCCCAGGACTCAGTGCAGGTCAGTCAAGGATGGCTGGAATGTGAGTGGGGGATGAACTCAGGGCCAGCCTGAGATATTCAGACTGCCCCACTCTGGGCCACCTGCCTTTATGGTGAGACTTAGTTCCCCTTTTTTTATTTTTTTATTTATTGATTTTAGAGACAGAGGAAGGGAGAAGGAGAGAGAGATAGAGACTTAGTTCCTTTTGCCAGAGGTTGATGTAGACAGAAAGATATGAAAGGAGAGCCAAGGGCCACCCTGGAAGAGGAGGAAGCTATGAAGCAGGTAGATTCCTGGCCAAACAAGTAGGGCCTGGGCCTCCTTTAGCCACAGCTAGGGTGAGAAAGTGGTGCTGATGACATAGGAGAGTGACTGTCCTTACTGAATGATCAATAACCTTGGAAGAAGCTCAGAGAGGAAACTGGAGCTCAGAGATGAAGTGACCTGCTTTGTGAGGTCACAAACTGATGAGTGGTCAAGCTGGGATTCAAACCTAGGTCTGCCTGGCTCCAAAGTTCTGTTAGGTAGAGTGACCACACACATCTCATTTTTCCCAGGGCAGGCTCTGCTTACACCTGTTGCCCTAACATAGTTATTAATAACACCTCTTTTAACTCTCAGAAATGTTCTGGTTTATGCAATTAATTATATGGTCCCCCCTATTCTTACCCTTTCTGGCTTGGGACCCTCACACGTGCCCTAACCCCTCCGTGTAAGGTCGGCTGTGTGTATTTGCCCTAATCCAGTAAGACAAACCTTAGACTGTGGGCCCAGGCTGGAGTGGATCAGCCCCTGCCCATGAGTGCCCAGTCTAGCTATGGGCATAGAGGGGAGAGCAGACAGATCCACATGTCACTTGGATAGAAGAGAAAGGGGCTGAGGATCTGGTCAGGCAGCGGTGGGGGCAGGGCAAAGTAGCTCTACATCGATATGTCAGAGGCTGCCTAGAGACCAGGTTCGTTGAGCTGTGTTTCAAAATATAGATGGGTCTTACGTGGACTGAGATGGTAGGGAGAGGGCAGTGAGGAAAAGGCTTGGTGGTAGGGCCATTGAGCATGTGCTTAGGGTTGGGGCTGATCTTCTGGTCTAGTGAGTCAGAGGTCAGTGGCAAACGTCCAAACTGGGCCTCAGCTGCAGATTGGAGCTAGGGCTGCTCTTAGGGGTGCAGGCACAGAGTGGCCAGGACTCCAGCTGGGGCTGGAGCACTCAGTGGGCTCTGCCCCTTCCCCTGGGGTTTTCCCACATGCTATGTCTTCCTGATACCACTTCTCCTTTTCTGGGCTTGTCCCTGACTCAGCACAGCCTGGTTCCCTGTAGTAGGCAGGCAGGGGTGATCCAGGAGGCTTCCCGGAGGAGGTGGCTAGAATGAAGTCTGGAGGTTCATGCGAGGCCCCTTTGCTCCCACCTTCTTAGCTCACAGTCCTTTTCCTGTGAAGGCTCTGCTGGGAGAAGAGCCTTTTGCATCTGTTACTCTCTCCCTTGCCATGGTCACAGTAGTCATCAGAGCTGTGATCACATCTCCTCTTGGATCAAGTGTCATCTCCAGAGCTGCCTAGATCCTGAGTCGAGGTGGGGTGTGAAGAGGTCAGCCTCAGAGAAGCCCTCAGATCCAGCTGTGGCCTCGCTTGCCACTGGTGGTTGAACTTGCAGGCCATGGTGCTAGACCACCTGGATGCAAATCCCAGCTGGGGATGAAGGCAAATTACTTTGTGTCTCTGTGCCTCAGTTCCCTCAGCTGTAAAGTGGGGAGAACAATCAGCCATACCTTAGAGAGCCCTAGTGATGAGTCACTGAATAAATTCATGTAAAGTACTTAGAAAACTGCTAGGACTACATAAACATGCATAATTAATAAGAAGTAATGAATACAGGTCTTCACTTGACTAATCCCTGCTGAGTGTTGAGCCCACCATAGTGAATAAGGTAGTGTGGCATTTGCCTCAGGGAGCCCACATGGTAGGGAGGCCTCAGGACTGGCAGATCCCTCCCAGATGATCAGGTCAGTGATGGGGGACGACTGGGGGCCAGAGGTGGGAGGACTGAGGCTGCTTGGGCTCCGGGGATGCTCTTTTGCCACCACCTTCCCCTCAGTGCTGGCCCTCAGTCCCGGGGGAGGTCGGGGAGCCAGGCCCACTCAGCCCTGCTTGGCTGGAAGGGACAGAACCTATCCCCACATCTTCTAGGCCAGTCTGACTAGTCCTAGCCTGACAGCTTGGAGTTCTGTTCTCAGCTGATCAGGCCAGACCCTCAAGGGCCCCTTCTTTTGGAGTCTGGAAGGTTGTGTGTGATAGATTACTTTGCCTGTCAAGAGGTCTCCTGACTAGCTGGGTGCCAACACCCCGGGTGATGCCCTTGGGCCTGCAGGGACTGTCTCTTGGTCATCATTCACCCTTTTATTTGCTTTCCTCTCAGCCCTCATGGACACCCTATCCATTTATATTTCCGTCCATCCATCTATTCACCCACTTGTTCTGTCCATCCATCCATTTGTCTGTCTGTCTGCCCCCTCATCGCCCCCCCCCCCTCCCCCCCCCGCCATTCAACAAGCTCTTGTTGCTGACTCAGCCCTGTACTGGACTGTAGGGATAAAGAATCAAGTCCAGTCCTGGCCTGTGGTTAGAGCATCGGCCCACACTCGGAAGGGTTGTAGGTTCGATTCCCAGTGAAGGGAATGTATCTGGGTTGCAGGCTCAATCCCTGACCCTGGTTGGGGTGCAGGCAGAAGGCGACCAGTCAGTGTGTCTCTTTTACATCAATGTTTCTGTCTCTTTCTCTCTTCCCCTCCCTTCCTCTCTTCCACTCTCTCTAAAAATCAATGGAAAAAATGTCCTCGGGTGAGGATTAACAACACCAAAATAATCAAGTCCAATGCTGCCCCTGCTCTAAAGAGAGTCAGGGTCAAGTTGGGGAGACAGCCTGGCGCAGTACCCACCAGGGCATCTTCTTAGGTCCAGCTAAACATTCGTGCCCTCAAGACTAGAACATAAGCCCACTTGGCATCAGATTGCCTGAGAGCCTTACAGGGAGGGAACAGCTGGCCAGCAGTGGCAGGTTTTCCTGTGTTGTGAGATCCTCATAGTGTTCAATGCCACTGTCCACACAGCTGCCTAGGAGCCATTCTCTGTGGTCTTCTAGGGGACAGCCCTAGAAAGAGCTGAGACTCACAGTGGACAGGTGTGGGAGCCACCCTGGCTTAGAGATTTTTGCCCCAAGGGGCCAATATATTTTCTAAAAACCCCACTGGTGCAGTTTCAGGTCTCTGCATGGGATGTGCCCAGCTACAAACCACCACATTCAGAGAAGCCCAAAGCTCCTGCTTCTTCATCAGGTAGTGACCACTTATAGTTTCTCCCAGTCCAGGTGCAGTTCCTCACTCAGGCTCCTTTTGCCAAAGGCAGTATGCCTCTGAACATGGCTGACATGCCACCTTTAGCAGGTTTCTAGGGGAGCAGAGTGAGGAAGCTAGCTGAAGTTCAAATTCTCACACAGAAAGGAAGAGTTTCATTTATTCTTTGCCCACCCATGGAGAAGAGACAGAGTACAGGGTGATATGGAAGTAGCCATGTGTCCTAAGAAGCACACAGACTGTAGATTCAGGGTCAGTTCCTGGCTTAGATGCCAACACAGTTATCTAAAGCTCATAACAGATTGCCTGAGAGCCTTACAGGGAGGGAACAGGGCAGGGACTGGGGGGCCATGAAGGAGGCATCAAGGAAGACTTTCAGAGGAGGGGGGCCTGAGTTTGGAGTTAAGTAGATGTTCCCTAGTCGGAGACCAAGGAGAAGGATATTCCTAGAGGAGACAACAGTTGGAGCAAAGGCTGACATCATGGTCACACCCCCGCCCTTCCTTGCTTTTGTAGTAGTCACACACTTCTAGTCACTGCCAGGAACGTGGGGAACTAGACCAGGCAGAAAATAACCTGTGGGAAAGTTGCCCGCACACTCTGGGGCTCCTCCTTAGCCCCTGCTGATACTTGCAGAGACAGTGGGTGGGGCCAGGGCTGTAAGGCTCAGATACCTTGTTCCGGCTGGTGGTCCATGTATAGCCTGTGTGTTAGCATATGCCTCCTTATCTTGGTTACTCCTCCAACCACCCTACCAGGTTGGAGATCTAGTCCCCACTCTACAAAAGAGGAAACTGAGGTTCATAGATGTTAGTTGCTTACCCCAGGGCACACAGGAACTAAGACTGAGCCAGGTTCTAACCCACATCTCTGATGCCAAAGCCCTCTGGGAGACTAGCTTGCAGGGCGCAGTGTGATCTGTGCTGAGACAGGCAGAAGCACTGTGCCTGTGGCCCCCGAAGAGTTGGGGGGTGGTTCCGGGTGGAGTGATAGCAGAGGTGGAAAACTGATGTAAAGAGGAGTGTGGTGGGATCTGGTGAGCTTGAGAGGTCTTGAGGGCATCTGGGGGATGGTGAATATCTGTCTGAGACGAGAGAAGGTGGTTTTGAGCCAGAGACCCACTATTCAGGGCCTCAGGACCTGGTTTCTGAGACTCTGATCTGCTCTCTTGGACTCAACACCCATTTCGCCACGCCCCTCTTTTGCCAGCACACAGCTTCTTATCCTTAAAAGCTCAGCTCAAGCCTCACCTCCTCCAGTCTTTCCTGACTCCCCGGGCTAGGATGTAAACCACCCATACCCCATTCTGTCTTCATTCCTCTTTTAGAGTGGTGCGTATGGCTAAAAGCTAGAGTTCTGGGGACAGGTGCCCATGTCACAGCAATGCAGCCAAAGAGGGTGCCTTCTTCCTTTACAGGCTCTGGGGTGCTTGCAGGATTTGGGGCAGGGGAGTGAGGCGAGGAGGGCTGTGTGGAGGGCTCCTGTCTGAGTTTTGGGAACGAATGAGTTTTGCTGAGCTCAGGTGAGCTGTGTCTCAGTGGGTTTGAGTCTTGGCTCTGTCCCATCGTGATGCTGGCCCAGTGACTCAGCGGCACTGAGCTAAGCCCTTATTGCCCAACTTTTGGTCTGTTTCCAGCCTTCCCTACAAGGAGGAGGAGTTGCTGTCATCACCACTGTCATCCTCTCCCCAGCCAGAACCTGAGGAGCCCCCGGCCACCTTCTCCCGGGGGCCTCCTCAGCCCCTAACTCCCAGCCTTCCAGAGGTTCCCCCAAAGCCTCTTCACCTGTTCCCAGAGTTTGGTGAGTACTATAGCCAGGCCTGGGCTCTGGCCCTCGATAAGTCTGCAAGGATTCGAGGTTTACATCCCCCTTTTGTTGGGCCCTACCACCGACCCCCTGTGTGGCCTGGACAGGTAAGCATCATTCTCTTCATCCTCAAAGAGAGACAGCACTCATTTGTCTGACTGTTAGATGCAGACACGTGGCAGACTTTCTGAGTTGCCCATGGTTTAAAGTCAGGGGTATCTTCCATGGTCATAGTTAGTTTGCTGCCCCCTCAGCTTGTCCACTTCTCTTGATTCTTGATTCATACTGCTTTTTTTAGCCTTTTTTAGACAGTCCCCGCCCCTGACCCCCAAGCTTGCGACCTCTTCAGACCTCCCTATGGTGGCCAGGCACCCCCTAGTGCTGTCCTGTGAAGCCCCAAGAGTATAAATAGTACTTCCTGTCCCCTGTGCCATTTTTGAAAGCTAGGCCAGGTCAGGTGGGGGTCTCTCTTGGGCTGTGGGTGGTCTTGGTGAACCCAGGTCCAGGTGCTCAGGAGGGGAGACCAGGCTCCTTGCTTCTGAGTCTCCCCCAACCCCGTTCTCTCCCCAGACGACTCTGACTACGATGAGACCCCAGAGGAGGGGCCCGGAGCCCCAGCTGGCGTGATGACCAAGAAGGTGGGACAGGCAGTGGTTAGGGTTTGGGCTGTTGCTGTCAGTGTGGAGGGCGGGCTGCTCAGCTGCCTTTCAGGCCCTGGGGACCACCAGATAGAGAATGGGTAACTGTTCCAGGAGAGTTCCCTTCCCCCTTCATTGTCTTGCTATCTAAAGGTCAGAGGTCAGACACAGGGTCCCAAATCCCAATGGTAGGCTAGAAACTAGGGGTTTGTGGCCCTAGCTCTAGTCTTCAGCTGCATGGGGTGCCGTGTGTGGCCTCTTCCCTCCCTCAGTGTTTCGAGTTTTGCTGCTGTAGAGTGTCTGCCCATCTGTCTTTGTTTCACTTTCTGTGTTCTCCTGCCATCCTCTGTCTGAGTGTCTTAGCTCTCCACCCTGATGCTTTCTGGTTTTGTTTTTGTTTTTGGTCTCTGATCTGGGCTGGTGTGGCCGTGTCTCCCAGGGCCCCTGTGTAGTCTGCCGGTGGGAAGAGGGGAGTGTGAATAAACAAGTAAAAGTGCTAAGTTGTGTGAGTCCAGAATGGAGTGGACAGAGTGAGTGTGGCAGCCCCTGCGTGGGTGTTATCTGGGGCTTGAAGGTAAGCATGATGATGAGTGGGTCTGCGGTTGGGGGGTGTAGGAGGAGCCTCCAGTGAGCCGAGTCCCACGTGCTGTGCGTGTGGCCAGTTTGCTGAGCGAGGGGGAGGAACTGTCGGGGGACGACCAAGGGGATGAAGAAGAGGATGACCATGCCTACGAGGGCGTCCCCAAGTGAGTATCCACCTCTCTTGGGTGGCTCTCCCATCCAGCACCCCCATTTCCTCAGCCCCTACTTCGCTGGAGCCCCCACCTCGGCCCCCCTCATTCCCTTTCCTATTCCTCCAGTGGTGGATGGCACACCAGCAACCTGAGCTCATCCTTGCCCAGCAGCCTCCTGATACCCCAGCTTCCACCCCACCCAATGGATCAGCTGCCTGGGGGCCCTACCCCTATCACACAGGTCATCAAGGCTGGCTGGCTGGCCAAGAACCCACCACAGGGGTGAGTGAGGCCTGTTAGGTCCTGCTGGAGCTCTGCATGGGATTCACATTGCTCTAGTGTACTGGTGTCATGGATCTGAAACCAGAGGGGCAAGGGTATTTGAGCAGGACACCCTCCATGCTAACTGTAATTGCTGATGATCACCATGAGACCTATATTTTAGTACTCTTAGTATTGGGAAGTCCTACTTTGCATCCAGCTTCAGTCACTCTTGCTGTGGGTAAAGTCCATCTTCCCAGTGACTGTTTGGGATCCTTCCTCTCTTGGACCTGGCTGTTACTAATTTTGTATGTGGCTGCCAGAGGCGGGTAATCCTAGAGCTTCTCCCTTAATCCCCAGTCCTTTGCTCTGTTGTTCCTCTGCCTTTGCCTCTCCAGATCTTATATATATCAGAAGCGATGGGTGAGACTGGATGTCAATTACCTGCAGTACTTTGATAGTAACAAGGTAAGGCCTGTGTTGGTCTCCGATGAGACCCCCGCTGTTTCAGTCTGGCCCATTGGCCAGCTATGGGCTGCGGTCAGGGTCAAGGTAGGGGTTTTCCCTGACCACCTGTGGGAGATGGGACTGTAGCCTTCATTTCAACTGAGATTGAGGAAAGGGAGAGGGGGTGGTGTTGGGTCTCTGGGGAACCCCCCCCACCACAGTACAGCTCCTCTCTCTTCCCCAGGATGCCTACTCTAAACGCTTTATCTCTGTGGCCTGCATCTCCCGTGTGGCTGCCATTGGAGACCAGAAGTTTGAAGTGATCACGAACAACCGGACCTTTGCCTTCCGGGCAGAGAGTGATGGTGGGGAGCAGGGCAGGAAGAAGACTGGCAGTTTGGCTTGATTAGGGCGGGGAGAATCAGGGCGCACCTGCTCTCTCACATAAAACCCAGAGAGGAGTCAACCCTCTGTGAGGTGGGGGATGAAAGGGGATACCCTCTGACTGGCTCTGTGCTTGAGACGCCCACCGAGTCCTCAGAACCACATTCCATGTACCGGGGGAAGCAGGCTCAAATAGGCAAAGTGGCTTGCCCAGTTTAAGCTTCACAGCTGGGACTGGAGCCTGAGGTTGTCCAAGTCGGAGATCTCAGATATAGTCAGAGATAGGGGGCCAGTCTAGGCAGGCTTTCCTGTTCTTAGAGGCCGCCTGCCAAGCTGAGCTCCAGCTTACTCCTCCCCCTTTTCCCACAGCGGAGCGGAAGGAATGGATGCAGGCCCTGCAGCAGGCAGTGGCTGAGCAGCGAGCCCGGGCCCGGCTGTCTAGTGCTTCTCTGTCGGGTGTTCAAGACTCAGAGCTACCTGACTATGCTGGCAGCCTGGAGCTACGTGGCTTCAAAAATAAACTGTACGTGGCTGTGGTTGGAGATAAAGTACAGCTTTACAAGAATCTGGAGGTGCGAAGGGGTGGGCCAGGCTGCTAAACCTCTCCCCTGCTCCGTGCCCACCCTGGTCCCTTAACCCCACCGCATGCCTACCTGGTCCCTCAGCCTCTCCCTGGTCTACCTGGCCCCTCAGCCCTGCCCCATGCCCAACTGGTCCCTCAGCCACTCCCTTGTCTACCTGGTCCTTTGGCCTCTCCCTTGCCCATCTGATGTTTTAGCCCTGTCCTTTTTCTGTTTCTCTTCCCTTGTCCAAGCTGAGCCCTTTGCCTGCCCTTTCTGCCCTTAATTCTGATTCCCTCCCCTGTCTGGTCCCTAAGCATTACCCTCTCATCTTCTTACTGCATGGCCTCTGAGCTAGATTCCTGAACCCTCCCTTACTTACTTCCTAGCCACTTTCTAGTCCCTAAGGTGCCACCTCCCCCTCCTCTCTACCCCGTCCTGGGCCTTGAGCTCCACCCTCCAGGCCTTGCCCTCACTCCTTCCCACCTGCCTGCCAGGAGTACCGCCTGGGCATTGGCATCACCTTCATCGACATGAGCGTGGGCAATGTGAAGGAAGTGGACCGGCGTAGCTTTGATCTTACTACCCCCTACCGCATCTTCAGGTGAGCCCCCATCACTCACTGAGGTCTAGCCCTCTGTGTCTAATAGTTTTATGGACATACTTCCTCTTCAACTCACTGTTCTTCCTGGGCCCCCTCTCTCACCCATGGGGACCCCTGTCTCTGCTGCTCACCCCTGTGTATACCCATCATCACTCCTGTCTTGCCTCCGTTGCTCTCACCTCCAGCTGGTCCCTCCTCTCTGCCCCGCACCATCTGGCCCTAGGCCTGTGAACCTTCTGGCCCTAGACCTGCCTCCTCACTCTTTGGCTGTCTGTCTCTGACCACCAGAGGGGTCTTTTTTCCTTAAGGTTTTATATGTCTATTTCTTGTATTTGAGGTAATGTTTGATGACATCCTTGGCCTGAGATTCTTTGCCATCATCCTTGACTACTACACAACTACAACCAGTTTGTGGCATTGTCCTTCTCTTTCAGTTTTACCGGGGCCTGCCCACTCCTCGAGTTTCTTGTCATCAACCTTAATTAGGTTGATTTGATGTTTAGCACCAAGGGCTCCCACAGCCTGACGTACATAGGCTCACGCAGTTGGATGCAAGTAAATGAAGACGGGCTTAGCACCTGGCTAAGGCCTTGGCAGCTTCATAGATTCCACTGCTGGGCCTTTGTGGATGAGATGGTCTTCAGCACCTCACGTAGAGCAGTGTTAGCAATCCATTGCATCTGCAGCAGCAGTACCTTTGGCCATGGCGGTGGGTTATAGGTGGAGCCAAATCTTGAATGTTCACATGTGACTCTGGGACAACAGGGAAAGAGAGCCAGAGGGGAAGTCATCTCTCTTCCTCCTGCCCACTGACACTCTCCACTGCTTCTCCATTGTTCTCAGTACATTTTGCCTTCCTCTGCCTGGCACAAGCTTGTCCCTATCTGTCTTCCAGCCTCCTCTCTGCCAGTGTGCCTATCCTGCCCACAGGTCCTTGAATCTCTCATGTGCCATCCTGCCCTTTTGCATATGCTGCTTTGTTTGTATAAAATGCCCTTCCACCTCTTTACCTGGCTAAGCCCTTGTCATCTCTCAAGTCTTAGCCCAGGTATCATTTCTTCCCAGCAGCCTTTGCTGCACCCTGGGTAGGCCAGAGCCCCCTCAGGACTCTCGCAGCCTTCACACATCTTTCAGGTCCTTGCCTTTCTCACGCCCACCTTCCTCACAGACCCAGGATGCCTCGCTCTTCTGACTGAGCTCTCAATACCTTGTTCCCCCTACTTCATGCTGTGCCCTTTATGCTGCCCGCAAATGCCTCTGAGCCCTTTTCCACCAGCCTTCTTCCCTCCCATTCCTGTGTCCCCAGCTTTTCAGCCGAATCAGAACCAGAGAAGGATCAGTGGCTGGAGGCCATGCAGGGAGCCATTGCGGAGGCACTGTCTACCTCGGAGGTGGCTGAGCGCATCTGGGCCGTGGCCCCCAATAGGCTCTGTGCTGACTGTGGGGCTGCCCAGCCTGACTGGGCCTCCATCAACCTCTGTGTCGTCATCTGCAAGCGCTGTGCAGGTGAGTGTCGGGGTGGAGCTCTGGGCCAAGGCAAGACAGGACTGGTGTGTTGGGTGGTCAGTGTCTGTCTGTCTGGAGGGCTGGAGTGAAGACACTAGTGAGAGATTGTTTATGAAGATGCCCCTGTGCACCAAGCATCTCCCACCAGGATTTAAGCTGTACATTGCAGGGCAGGGGTTTAACTTCTCACATCATGGGTGGAGCACTGAGGCACAAACAGGGAAAATGGCTTGTTTGGAGTCATCTGGCAAGTAAGTGAGTCTGGATTTTAGCCCAGGCCTCTTAGGGTCCAGCACCTCTGTCCCATCAGAAGAGTGGAACGAGGCCAGGCAAGAGTGGCCGATGGGCCAGGCAGAGGGAGGAGCTGGTGTTCATTCAGAGGGGCTGGGAGGCAGTGGTGGGGAGGACTTGGTCAGATTTGTGCGTCACACTCTGGCTGGTTAGAAGCTGAGTTAGAGGGCGACCGCTGCTGGAGCTGAGAGAGAAGAGGAGGAAGAGGAGGCCTGGTCTGGGGCGGTGACGGAGAGCATTCGAGGGATGTTTAGGATCTATGGCACAGAATTCCCAATGACAGATTAGGGAATTTTAAAGAAAGGGTGGAGCTCAAGATTCATTCACCTATTCAATCAACATTTATTGAGGATCAGTGATATGCCAGACAGTGTGTCAGGTGCTAGGGATGTGGTTCCCTTAGGAGCTGACAGTGCCCAGGTGGCAGCTTTGGGTGGTTGGAGATGTGGATCCAGGTAGAAGAATAGTTTGAGGAAGTTTATGAGCTCAGTGAAAAACTCTGAAGCCTGTGGGATATCTAGGGCCTATGTCCAGGAGGCCTTGAGGTCTGTGTGCAGAAAAGCAATGACTGGATTGGAGACCAGTTTAGGAAGGCATCAGCTCCTGAAGGGTGAGGGTGACTGAGATGTGTAGAAGCAGATGAGGCCAAAGCCAGAGCCAGGTAGTTCTAGGCACTCCTAGAACCAGTAGAGGTGTCAGGTAATAACAAGTGCTAGGCAGAAAATATGTCTGTGGTAAGCCCTCTCCAGAGGTATCCATGTCAGCTGAGATTTGAATGTCAGTAGAGGGTCCTGGGGAGAGTGGGGGAAAGAATCCAGGCTGAAAAAACAGTTAGTACCAAGGCCCTAAGGCAGGAATGAGCATGGGAGATAAGATGAGGGAGAAAAGTGTGCCTGAGTGGGATGGGGAAAGCATGAGATGCAGTTGGAGGAGAAGCAGGTAAGGAATTTAGATCTAATTCTGGGGAGCCATTTGAGGGGTTTGAAGGGATTTGAAGAAAGGAAATTTGCATTTTCAAGAGATCATTCTGACTGGGCTGTGTGCAGAGTGGCCTGTAGGGAGCCAGCTGGGGGCTGCTGCAGGAGCCCTGGTGATACTGCTGGATTCAGTTCTGTGGTGTGGAGAGCAGTGGTGTATAGCTGGACTCTGGAGCTGTGTGGGGGTAGAGCTGCAGGCCTAGCCCCTGAGTCCTGCTGTGGCCTCTCCCAGGCTGTCCCTGGATGAGCACTGGGGGTTTGAGTGGGGCAAGAGGTGAGTGCTCTATGAAGGAAACAGCCCAGAGGACCCAACCTGGCCCCCTGTCTTACAGGGGAGCACCGTGGCATGGGTGCTGGCGTCTCCAAAGTGCGGAGCCTGAAGATGGACAGGAAGGTGTGGACGGAAACACTCATCGAGGTGAGGAGACCTCTGCTGGTCACCTGTATTTGGGATCTAGCTGCTGCCTGGGTCTCCCAACCCCATTTCCTCCATCTCACAGACCCTAGCATCCTTGAGCTAGAAGAGACCTTTGGGATCATCTAGTGGGTGTGGATTTTGGAAAAGCTGATTTTTGGCAGTCAGTAAGCTGGCCAGTGAGCTAAGAATGTTTTTATAGTTTCACACACACACACACACACACACACACGCACACACCCACCCCAGAAACTTTGTGTCCTGCAAAACCAAAAATATTTACTTCATTTCATCTCTACTCATGTGCGCCAGTGGGTATGAGTATATGTATTCAGGGGCACACACTCATATACACTTGTGCCTGTCTGTGTACTTGGGGTGCCCAGGTACTGATATGTGTGGTAGTTATAGGGGAGAACCTGCAACAGGAGGCTGGATCCAGGGCCTTCCTGGCAGCCCCAGCCCAGCCGCAGACTCCAGAGCAATTTGGGTGTCACATCCCTTGTGAATTAGGGTTCGAGTCCCCAGTTTACAGATCCACACTTTGAAGCCCAAGGACAGAGGATGACTTGCCCAAAGTCACTGAGTGAGTCAGTAGCTGCAGGGACTATTTCTGCTTTGTTCTCTAATGTGACCCTAGCTCCCTACACAAGACCTGACAAAGGGGCAAGGTGGGGGGCCCAGGAAATGGCAGTGGAACAGATAATCAGCAGAGTGAAAGAAACAATAAATCAGTACCCTGAATGTTAGACCCCTGTACTCCTCCAGAATCTGCTCCTGCCCCTCTTCCCTTGCAGGAGCCCAGGTGCTGATTGTAGGGCTCAGTCCTGTGGTGCCAGGAACTGGGGTGTGTGCCTTGATTCTGGAGCTGCAGACCCAGCCCCTGGAAAATGTTCTAGAGGAATATCTGGGACACCAGATGGTTCCAGAATTCCTGCTCACCCCATTGGCTGACTGCTTAACCCCCCACCCCAAGCTGTGATAGTCTCGGGAATGCAAAGTTCCAGATGTGGGACTGGGTGGGGAAATAACAAGGCCCCCAACCAGACTCTAGGCCTGGGGTGTGTACCTGTCATACTGTCTGCCTCTTGTCCTGTCACTGAGCTCAGGCCCAGGGTTGGTGAGGGAGCACCCAAGGCCACCAACAAACAGGCCTACCCTCAGCTTCCCTGATGGCAAAGTGAGTGGGTAGCCTGGCTCTCCCAGCCAGCCTGACAGCCTCAAAACCAAGATTTTGCAGGACATGGGGCCCCTTGTCATAGGCTGCCTCTAACCTCTTGCCCACACCTGCAGCTCTTCTTACAGCTGGGCAATGCCTCTGGGAACCGCTTTTGGGCAGCCAGTGTGCCCCCTAGTGAGGCCCTGCAGCCCAACAGCAGCCCTGGTGCCCGGCGGTGCCACCTGGAGGCCAAATACCTCGAGGGCAAGTACCGCCGCTACCATCCACTCTTTGGCAACCAGGAGGAGCTGGACAAGGTCAGGTCACTGGGCCTCTGGGGCCCCTTAAGAGCACCCCATTTTCCCTACACTGTCAGGGCCCCTTGAGACCACCCCCTTTCTTCCTGTCCCCACATTTCTTACCATTGCAACCCATCTTTTCCACCAGCTCTGAGTGATGAGCTGGCCTATGGGGAAACAGGCCTAGAGGGCAGAAGGGCCCTATCTAAGCCACAGGGAGAGTTGAGACAAAGCAAGGAGGAGCCAGGCCTGACCCTTGGACCATGTCTCCGTCCCCAACATCTGTCTGCTTCCCTCCCCAGCTGATTTCTCTGTCTCCCTCACTCTGTCCTGCTCCTTCTGTATCCTGCCAAAAGGAGTGAATTTGATGGGGATGCTATTTCCTGTCAGGCTCATGAAAAACAGCTGGTGGCTCTGACCCACCCCCATCCACACCCCACTCTAGATGAGGCCCCGAATGGGCCCCAGGCCCTGACAGGCTGGGAGCCAAGCCCTGGGTCCTGGCTGGCTCCGCCTGAGTGGGAGGTAGCCTGCTCCGAGGCAGGGGGATGCTCCTTGTGACCTCTGGTGGGCTCTCAGCCCCTCCCTCAGTCAGCTCCACCCAGGCAAGCTCAGTCCAGCTGGAAGCCCAGTGGGAGCCAGGCCTCCACCTCCCAGGAACCCAGGCATCCAGCCCCCAGTCCAGCCCAGTTTGGCTTGCCAGCTAGGAGGGGCGGTAACTTCTATTGGTTGGGAGGGCTGGGCAGGCGGTGAGGAATTCAAATGTGGGAGGAATTAGCTACAAAGCAACCCTCTCTGCCCTTCCACAAGGCAGAGGGAGCTTGAGATCCTCCTGAGAACAGGCTTGGCAACTGACAGGGTCCTGGGGCCTGTCAGCAGGGGTGAGACCTGGGCTGCTGGGACCCTGGCCTCTGCTGGGCAGCCCCTGCCCACCCTCTCTGCCTTTGTCTTTTCTCTTCCTCCTCCTCTCTTCTCTGTTTTTCTTCCTCCATCTTCTCTCTTTCAACATGAGGATGGGCCCCCCAGACCCGGGTGCCCCCTTCCTCTTCCTATCTCTCTTTCTCATTCTCTCTTTCCCATTTGCCCCACACTCCTCCTGGAACTGACTTTTCCCTCCCTCCTCTTCCCACCCCTCAGGCCCTGTGTGCCGCAGTCACTACCACAGACCTGGCTGAGACCCAGGCACTCCTGGGCTGTGGCGCTGGGGTCAACTGCTTCTCAGGGGACCCTGAGGCCCCCACACCTCTGGCTCTTGCCGAGCAGGCGGGGCAGACACTGCAGATGGAATTCCTTCGGAACAACCGGACCACGGGTAAGCAGCTGGTGGGACAGTCCTCCTTGAGGGATGGGGCCTCCCTGCTGCTGGGGTCTGGACCTTCGGAGCAAATGCTGGGTAGAGTCTGGGGGGCTGTGTATCTCCCTGAGAGGTTTGATCACATACTCCTCGAGCTGTAATTGCAGCTCCTTGAGGCTCCTGGTGCAACAGTGTGTGTGATCTTGAGTGTGTCTAGGTTTGCATGTCAGTGTCTGTGCTTCTGGCTTTCTCTTCATATGTGTCCCTTTGTGTCTCTGTCTCTGCATTTTTGGGTATTTGTGGGTCCCTCCCTGACCTGTAATGTGGGCCTCCATGTGACATCTGTGTGCCAGTGTTCGTGCCTCTCGGAGCTGCTGTGGATCTGTTTCTTTGCACCTGGGGGTATTGAGGGCTTTGGGATTTGTGTGTGTAGAGTGTGTCTGTGTTGCTTTTTATGTGTGTGGGGGGAGAGGGGTTATTGTATTTCTCCATGTGCAGGTGACTCACCATAGCAGTCCTGTCTGCTGTTCTGTCTGGGTGGGTCTCTGTCACAGACTGGGGTTGGGTCCCATTTGGCTCCCACTCTTGGGATGGGTGAGGAAGAGACAGTGGGGGTGAGCACTGTTGGTCATGGCCCAGGGCTAGCCTCTGGGGCCACATCCTAGGACTGAGGGTGGAGCTCCTCGGCCAGGGCTCTGGGCTCAGGGCCATGGGTGGGTGGGGTGCTCCATGCTGGAGAGAGCCCAGGTGTCCAGGGAGGCACAGGAGACCACCCAGCTGGCTTGGGTTTTGGGACTGCTGGGAGCAGGGCTGAAGCCAGGCTGCTTCCTTAGGCTTTGCATCATGTGGGATAAACCTCCATTTGGGGATTGTTATCGAGTTTGCTCAAGGCCCCTCTCATTCCAGTGTGCTGGCCCTTTGCCTCAATAGGCAACAGGGAGGTTGGGCTGGGCTGGGAGTTAAGGAGACTTCCTGGTACTGGAGCTGGGCCTTAGGAACAGGGTAGAATTTGCACACGTTAGGAGAGGTGGAGAATGGCTGGGGCAGAATCCTGGATGTGGCAGTGAGAACCTGAGGGTGCTGGTCGGGGATCCAGGCCGGTGACTTAAATGCAAGCTCGGATGCCCAACCCAGGTAGGGGGGCCACCCAGGTAGCCATTCTACCCTCCCCCTTCCCAAAAGAGGTACCTCGGCAGGATTTGATGAAGCCCCTGGAAAAGCACTACTCAATTGTCCTGCCAACTGTGAGCCACAGCGGCTTCCTCTACAAGACTGCTTCTGCTGGCAAGCCGCTGCAGGACCGCCGTGCCCGGGAAGGTGGGTGCCCGGGAAGGTGGCGTGGCGTGGTGGCAGGGCCTGAAAAGCCAGGACGGCCAGATTGCTGGGCCAGTGCACTCTGGCAGAGTCACTCTGGAGGGCTTCCTGGATGTGGTCTCTGGTACACTGTAGGTGCTTAATAAAAGGGATGATCAGGATGTAAGCGGGGCGCAGCACTGCAGAGCACATCCCTGCCTATTTCCCTCAGACTAAAGAAGCCTGTGTTGAGCATCTACTGGTGTGGGCCCTGTGCTGGGCATCGGGAGCCAGTGGGTGTTAGGAAGTTGGATGACTAAGCCTAAAGCATCGTCCCTTTTTCACCTCAGTCTTCCATTTGTCACCAGCTCTGAGTAAATCCACAGTCCTCACCACATTCTACAAGGACTTTCATGTCACCGCTCCATTAGCTTTCTGACCCTGCTCCCTTCACTCGCTCCACTCCAGCCTCCTGGCCTACTTGCTGCTTCTCAGGCATGCATATTCACTGCCACCGGGGCCTCCCTGTGCCCTCTGCCTTAAAGGTTTGTCACCAAATATCTGCATGGTCAGTCCCCACTTCAGTCAGGTCTCTGTTCAAATGTCACTCCTTAGAGACTTCGTCTCTGACCATTTCATCCAAAATTAGCACACCCTATTTACCCTACTGTAACCTATTTTCATAGCATCAATCTGCTATTAATCTGTTTATAGGTCTGTTTATTGATTCTCTGTACCCCACTGAAACAGGCTTCTCTTAGTCATCGCTGTAGCCCCCGGAGCCTAGAACAGTGCCGAGCACACAGTGGGCACTTGGCATTTGTCTGCAGGATAAAGAGAGACTAAGGCAGGGCTGGTTCTCCTAGAGGGAGCCCAGCACTGGGGCAGGTTCTGGGACACACAGTGTTATGTCAGAGGGCAATGTCATGTTCTCGTAGATAAGGTGAGAGACAGTGTCTGCTGTGGGAACATTGTCGAGACCGTTACTCACTGCATCCCTCAGCATCCCCGGATGAAACCCTCCAACTCCCAGAGAGATTTTTTTGAAACTGTGCTGTGCATCACCTCATTACCCCTGAGGCACTGTCCCAACCTACCTCTCTCTGCCTGATGATGTCATTTATGTAACTGCCTGAGTCATCTTTTTTGTCCCGGGTGCCAGGAAGCCCTGAGCCAGTGTGACGCTTAATACTATGAACTACACGAATCTGGATGGTCTTAACATACTCTTCTTTCTCCTGCCTTTCCTGGCCCGGATTCCTATTTCTGTTCCTTTATGGAATCTTGTCAGACTCCTCAGCGCATTATAAGAGGAGGCAGAGTATAGAGTAATGGGTGCTTCCGGCAAAGGAGGTGGGGTACAGGAGGGGGAGGGGTGCATGGAAGGCTTCCTGTAGCATTTGGACTGGCCTTGAAGGATGAAGGGTGTGGGGAGGGAACAGGATGAGAAAAGCAGGAAGGTGGGGTATGTGCCCAGGAGTGGTCAGGGAGGGGTCTGGAGAGGGGGGAATGGATAGACCCAGCAGGGCCTTAAATACCAGGCTGAGGGGCACAGCCTTTGTTCTGAGGACAAGAGGGTGGGTAATGGGAAAGTTTTGAGTTGAGGAAGGACAGAATCTGGTTTTGCTAGATCACTTTTGAGTCTTGGAGGAAGCAAGGACGGGAGAGCAATGATGAGGCTGCTGCAGTGGTCCGGGAAGAGGTGTGGGCTGTACTGGGTCTGCAGGGCTGCAGAGAGGAAGGTGGAATTGGGGGAAGCGTGTGAGTGGGAATGAAGAGGACACGGGCCAGGTGGGTATGGGAGCCCAGGGTGGATGCAGAGTTGGTTCTCAGGTAAGGGGGTGGCTCCCTCATGGCTCCCCTGACCAACTTCTTCCAGAGTTCAGCCGACGCTGGTGTGTCCTTAGTGACGGGGTCCTGAGCTACTATGAGAATGAGCGGGCAGTGACCCCCAATGGGGAGATTCGGGCCAGCGAGATTGTGTGCCTGGCAGTGCCTCCTCCTGACACCCACGGGTAAGCACCCCTGGGCAGAATCACAGACTCCTATTGCTGTAAGATCCCAACCCCACCCCCCTCCATTGGGAAGACAGGGAAAAAGGCCCAAAAAGGGGCAGGACCTCCCCAGGGTCACAAAGCAAACTGGGGCTGTACAGCGGCTAAACCAGTCTCCTGAGGCCCCAGCCTAGGGCTTTTCCACCAACTCTTAGGGGGCCGAGTGAAGAGCACTCCCAAGGACAGTCGGGGGGTGGGACAGAAAATAGCAGTGATGGGGGGAGCGGGGCAGGGCAGGATGGGGTGAGCCCGAACTCTGGCCTGTGTATCTACAGCTTCGAGCACACCTTTGAGGTGTACACAGAGGGAGAGAGAGTATACCTGTTTGGACTGGACAATGTGGAGCTGGCTCATGAGTGGGTCAAGTGCATTGCTAAGGTGGGCCTGGGTTAGTGGGAGGAGGTGGAGGGGGTCCTGCAGGGTGTATGTTGGGACCTCCTGGTGGATCCCATGTATCCCAGCTGCCCCAGGATGGAGAGCAGCCAGCACAGGGCAGGCTCTCAGGCCAAGGGGCTAATTTGATTTACAGCTCTCGGTGGGGAGGTGAGAGACCTAGCTGAACTATGTGGGCCTTATAGTCCATAGGTGCTCAATACATGTTTAATAATGAATGACGGGCAGAGCTGTCTTAGGATGGGCAGTGCTGCCTCCAGCAGGGACTGGTCTCCTTATCCTGGAGGAAGGAGGCAGGGGGCCTTCAGAGGAGAGCTCTCTGCCCAGGGCACTAGAGCCAGGTGCCCTCTGGGTCCCCTGTGCTATGAGGGCCTGTGACTTTTATCATACCCCTGTTCATTGATCAGTCGTCTGTGGGGCTCCTGATGGTCATTCCTCAGAGCCCTGGGGACCCAGATGAATCAGTCTTGGTCCTGGCTGTTCAACAGCTCCCATGCTGATGGGGTCCAGATAGCAATGACGGTATAATCAGTGCTACAGCAGAGGGCAAGGAAGCTTTGGCACTTTGGGGACACAGAGAAGGGACATCCTTCTCTGATGTCTGGGAAGGTTTTCCAGAGAATGGCACATCTGAGTGGGTGTGGTGTGGGACATGATATACTCAAATTCACTCATTCAGCTGGGTGCTGCCCTGGGGAAGAGAGAAGAGGCAGCTAGGTGGGCTGTGGTTATGCACCCACAAGCCAAGGACAGAGGTGTCTGGGCAGGTGGTGCTGATGGCTGATGCTATCTCCGGCCTCCCCCCTCAGGCTTTCGTGCCTCCCCTGGCTGAGGATCTGCTGGCCCGCGATTTTGAGCGGCTTGGGCGCCTACCTTACAAAGCTGGCCTGAGCCTACAGCGGGCCCAGGAGGGCTGGTTCTCCCTCACCGGCTCCGAGCTCCATGTCATCTTCCCAGAGGGGCCTTGCGAAGAGCCATTGCAACTGCGGAAACTGCAGGAGCTTTGTGCGTGGACCCAGACCTGGGGCCCCAACCTCTAGGGAACCATATCCTAGGCTCTCCAGCCCTTCCCTAGAAGTCTGAATGCTACTCTGCGTTGGCCAGAAGTATCCATCCTGCCCTCTCATGTTCTGTCCTACCCTTAGGGTGCATCTCAGTGACCCCCATGTGTTGTCGGGTGGGTCCCAGGGGGGGTGTGTGTTCAGAGAGCCTCCAGAGGGAGCAGGTTGGGGACCATGAACAAGGCCTGGGCTCACTTCTACTGGCTTCTCTACAGCTGTCCAGGGAGACAGCGAGAACCAGGTGCTGGTGCTGGTGGAGCGAAGGAGGTGAGGTCTGGCCTTCCTGAGGGGATCTGAGAACCCTGTGGCAGTCTGACAGGCCTGCGAGGGGAGGGGGAGGGCTAGACCCAAAGTGACTGACTGTCCGGGGCCCAGGACACTATATATCCAGGGAGAACGGCGACTGGACTTCGCGGGATGGCTGAGTTCCATCCAAAAAGCAGCGGGCAGCTCAGGGGATACATTGTCGGAGCAGCAGCTGGGAGACTCGGACATCCCAGTAATTGTGTACCGCTGTGTGGACTACATCACGCAGTGTGGTGAGCCCTGCCCCATGATACAGGCTCTGGCCGGCCCAGAGCGACTTTCACCTCCTGCCTCAGAGGCCAAGCCTTCCCTTCCCAGGATCCCTGTGAAAGTAGCTGCGAGGTCCCACCCCATGATCAATGCCTTAGGCCCCTCAGTTTTGCCCTGCCCTTAGCTCCCCACTCCTCTCCAGGCCTGACGTCTGAGGGTATCTACCGAAAGTGTGGACAGACTTCAAAGACCCAGCGGCTGCTGGAGAGCCTGCGGCAGGATGCTCGCTCTGTGCGCCTCAAGGAGGGCGAGCAACATGTGGATGATGTCTCCTCGGCACTCAAACGCTTCCTGCGAGACCTGCCTGATGGGCTCTTCACTCGAGCCCAGCGCCTGTCCTGGCTGGAGGCCTCAGGTGGGCCCTGCACCCCATGCCTAGCCTGAGATCTGGGCCAATGCTGCTGACTTGTCCATTCCTATCTCAGGATTTCAGCCCCTCCCCATTATGCACTTGAGCTAAACATGCCCCAGCGGATAGGCTTCAGGCCCGCTCCCTCCTGTGTCTCATTCCTGTTGTCACTCTACACATGGCTGGCAACTACTGAGTGCTTGGTAGGATTTGACCTGGAGGAGGGCAGAGTAGCCAGAGGGTTGGGATGGGTAGGTGGTTATGGATTGGGGCCTGGGGGGAAGGGTCCTGACCTGATCTATCTCCCCCAACCCAGAGATTGTGGACGAGGAGAAGAAGGTCTCCAGGTACCAAGAGCTCCTGGCACGTCTTCCCCCCGTCAACCGGGCCACAGTGAAGGCCCTTATCAGCCACCTATACTGGTGAGGAGCGATGCTATTGCAAGGCTCTGGGGGGATGAGGTAGAGAAGATTCTTCTACTCCCAACCCTGCTGACTGCCCTCCCCCAGGAACCAGGTAGGCCTGGGAGCTGAGTGTTGACTTATGAGGTACCCTAATCTTAGACACTGTCTCCCAACTTACTTCCTGCAGGTGGGAGCGTAGAGGTTTTAGCTCCCTAGCTGAAACCTTGGGGACCTTGGCCAGGTCTCCCAGCTTCCTAAGGACCCAAGACATGACCAAAAAGACTGTCCCCACTTTCCCTTAATTAGTAGTCTGCACTGACCAGGACCTTTCCTGGGCTCACTCCAGACATGGACCTGTCAGGAATTAGGAAGATGAGGTGAGGAAGTTCTGGGTGATTCCTCACTCAGTGCCTCCGTCCTTCCCTGTCCAGCGTCCAGTGCTTCTCAGACACGAACCAGATGAACACACACAACCTGGCTATTGTGTTTGGGCCCACACTCTTCCAGACAGATGGGCAGGACTACAAGGCTGGCCGTGTGGTGGAAGACCTCATCAACCACTATGTGGTGGTGTTCAGTGTGCGTCCCTAGCCAGTGGGTGGTGGCGGGCAGGGCTGAGCCATTTGGGCAGCAGTGACCATCTGTCTCTGCCCCTTCCCCCTTCCCAGGTGGACGAGGAGGAGCTGAGGAAGCAGCGGGAGGAGATCACTGCCATTGTAAAGATGCGTGTGGCTGGCACTGCCAGTGGGACCCAGGTGAAGGACAGGACCTGGGGTGGGGGGCTCAGGCCATCTACCTGCACCCACTCCCCAGGCATCCAGCCCTATCTCCTTACAGCACGCTGGTGACTTCATCTGCACAGTGTACCTGGAGGAGAAGAAGGCAGATGCTGAGCAGCATATCAAGGTGGGGGCAGGGGACCTAGAAGCCAAGTGGCCAGAAGAGTGAGGCTGGGCCATGCACAGACTTAGATGGCTGGGAGAGCAGGGCATCTGGGTGGTGCTTGGCCTGTCTCTTCCCTTCCTCCCCATCCAGCTCATCAGGACCACTCAGAGACACCCCCTGCATTCCAGGACTCCAGAGGGCCCTGAGAGGGGTGGGCTTAGCCCCTGGATCACACAGCAAGGTTGTGGTGGGACAGGGGATAGGATAGGTTGATTTCTCCTTGGTCATTGCAGATTCCAGCATCCATGACAGCTGAGGAGCTCACTCTGGAGATCCTGGATCGCAGGAGTGTGAGCATCAGGGAGAAGGACTATTGGACCTGCTTTGAGGTCAATGAGAGGGAGGAGACAGGTGGGTGACCACGAGGTTTGATGCAGGATGTGGTGCCAGCCTGTCCTTGTCTGGGTGGCAGCCCCAGTTTGTCTTCCCCTACCCTGACGTGTGGGAACAGTGGTGGTAAAAGGGGCTTTGGATGACAGGTGTTGCTGTCACACTGTGATTTCAGTAATGGTGGTAACAGTGTGCTGGTGGGGCTTGAGGTCACGGTCGTAGTGCTGCTGATGGCAGGGAAATGAAGGAGGTAGATGGTGTCAGCTCTGACAGTGTTTTCTCAGGTGTCAATGAGAATGGTGTTGCTTACAAGGATTGTGATGCTGAATTTGATAATGGGATTGCAGATGACCCCATTGGTGAAGGGAGCAGTGGGTGGTGATGACCATGCAAGAGGGGTGGGCTAGAGGGGTGGGTTAGAGGGGTTTAGGTAAGGATGGTTGTGATGGTGTTGAGAAGGCGCTATGGTAGTGAAGGGGTGATAAAACCATTTTAGGGTGAAGGATTGTCTTGATGGCAGTGGAGGGTGAGGGTATCTGTTCATTTTTTCTGTTGTTCGTGGAGTGCCAGGCACTGGGCTGGGGAGGCAAACACAGTCCTCGCCCTCCTGGGGTTAGTCTGGTATGGAATAGAGACATGAATCCTGTGGTCACATCAGTAAAGTACAACTATGCTGTTGACGGCTGTGCAGGAAAGGGCCACCTCGCCACCAGAACTTACCACAGGGTCTCTGGCTTTGGAGTCCCTGAGCTAGGATGTGAAGGAAGAAAAGGGTTACTTGGTAAAAAGAGGGGAAGGTGCTTCCGGGCAGTGGGAACAACATGGACCAGAAACAGCACCCTTTCAGCGAGCTTGAGATAGGGGCAGTGAGGGGTGGTGGCCCCCGGTGGGGCTGTGATACAAGGAGGCAGAGGCGGCCACTCAGGGCCTCGGGCCTGACAGCAGTGCAAGGCCAGTGAAGGGGTAGGGGCTGAGGGTTTGAAACCATGTCTCCTTGCTGCTCCATGGAGAGAGCTGGAGGAGAGGGTGGGAAATGAGGGCGCACGCAAGGGACCCCCTCGAAGGCCATAGTATAGTCTGAGGAGAAGATGGTAACATGGCCGGGGGACAGCAAAGGAGATGGACAAAGCAGAGAGATTCAGCCTGTGGAGGGAGGCTGAGAGGAGAAGGGGTGGTGGGGGCTGGGGCGCCTGGTGCATGGGGCTGTGTTTCCTCGTGAACCCAGCAGGAGAGCTCAGTGGCTCGGTTTTGGACATGCTGGGTGGGAGCAGCTTTGCTCCCAGCAGGACGTGTGGTGTCTGAAGCTTGGGAAGGTGGTCAGGGTGTGATGTGTGGTGGTGCTAGGAGGTGGTGGGAGTGGACATGTAGGTGATGTGTGTCCATGTGCCAACCCTCAGTGCTGTCAGGCCACGTGGCCCTGGTGACAGTGGATGTGACCTCTCCCCAGAGCGCCCCCTGCACTTTTCGGAGAAGGTACTGCCCATCCTGCATGGGCTGGGCATAGACAGCTACCTGGTGGTGAAGAAGCACCAGTCCATGGAGGCCATGCTGCTGTACCTGGGTAGGTGCTGCATCTGGGTGGGTGGTGCCTGCAGGGCCTGGCAGGTGGGTGGGTCCCTCCATCCAGAGCTGGGGCAGGACCTGGCGGTGCCAGGGAGGAGCAGCTCAGGCAGGGGTGCCAGACAGGCAGGCCTCTTCAGAGGCTGGGGTAGGATGGGGCACTGTCCTTCATCTTGGGACCCTACCCTGGGTGTCTGGGTCCATGCGTAGGGGGTTCGTGCAGTTCATGCCCACTCCTGTCCTCCTCTAGCCAGCCATGTGGGCGACACCAAGCACGGCATGATGAAGTTCCGCGAGGACCGCAGCCTCCTGGGCCTGGGCCTGCCTTCAGGTGGCTTCCACGATCGCTACTTCATCCTCAACAGCAGCTGCCTGCGGCTCTACAAGGAGATCCGGGTAAGTGGCCCGCTGGGCCCTGCCTTGTGATGGGCACCAGCACCTGAGTGCACAGACACCCACGCACAACGTTCCCTGGGGTTTGCCAGTGGGAGCACCCCCGTTGAGGGGTCTTCGGCCAACACAGCAGTGGGGAGAGCTGATGACTCTCAGGGGCACACCTGCTGTGGCCCTGGGTGGCCACTCTGCTCTGTTCCGTAGCCTTACGAGGCCCTGGTACCTGGATCCATCACTTCAGGCATGTGCTTTTTTCACCTGTGCCTGTGCCTGTGCCCTGTTATGGCACACAGGACATGCTACATGGACAGCCCAAGTTGTGGCCCATGCATGTCTTGTTGCTTCAGAGCTCGGCCCACTCTGTCCACAGTCTGGGTGTCTTCCCAGACCAGACTCCATCCTGGCAACCTTTCCCCCAACATCTTTTGTACATACATGCCACATCCCACCACACATCGCAGCGCACACTGTCCTGGCCCTGGACCTGGGCTGCCTTCCTCCGTAACCCTGATCCTCTATCAAACAGAGCCAGAGGCCGTGGATCGGGGCCCTTGAGACCGTGAGTAGCTGTGGGCCAGCTGCCAGCTGCCTTACACCACCTGGGGGCCAAGTGAGCCTGGTGGGAGCACAGGGACACAGCCAGAGCTCCTGGCCGTCTCCAGGCATGGTTCTCTGTCCCCTTGCCTGTCAGCATGGCCCTACCCTGGGGCTTATGGCTTAGGCTCCTTCCCTTCATTCCCAAACCTGTCCCAGAGCCCTTTCTCCAAGGTAGGAGTCCCCTGTCAATGTGATGCTCTAGAATTTTCCAAAGGACTCAGTGTGACGGCTGTGGGTCCAGTCACGGAGGCCCCTAGGTTTGAATTAGAGAACTGACCCTTAACTCCTGGTACCTCTGGAGCCACCCTCTTCAACCCTGGAGAGAATTCCAGGACCATCAGAATGTCCTCGCTACTGTCCTGACCCTAAGCCAAGGGGGCTACAGAGGCTTGTGACACATTCCCAACCCGTGGGAACATTCCTCTCCACCTCCCAGGCCAGTGCCCAGCCCTTGTTTGCATACCCCTGGGAGAGGAGAGCTCATCCACCCTCCCACAGCGCTGCCCTAGACCTAGAAGGCTGCTTCTGCCTGGGAGCAGGCTGCTGCTCAGATTTAGCTGTGAATAGGCCTCTTGTGACAATCCTATGGGTCCCAGCTGTGACTTGGGGGCCACAGAACATAGATGCCCTTCAGGGCCAGGCAGTAGAAATGTGTTCCTAAGCCCAGGAGACTAGCCTGAGCTCCCACAGTGACCCCCACCAGTGTCTCCAGCCCACCCTGCCCCCTTGTCTCCTGAGAACATCTGGACAGGCCTGGCTGCCGTGGAGGAAGCAGAGCAGATGGAGCAGGACCCTTACCTGCCTTCCTTTGCACATTCTACCCCTGCTAATGCAGCCTAGGCTCCAGCTGTCTCCTGTGGGGAATGCCTCCTCTTCTACCCTTGGCCTCCTTCTATGATTGCATCCTTACTCCTGGGCCTGTCCACCCCTCTGGTCAGTCCCCCTTGGTTCTGGGATGTTATTTCCCTGGCCCCCTCCCTCTAGGGGCACTAGTCCCTTGGAGCAGACCAAGCCCAAGTGTGGACAGAGAGGAGGGAGGATGGCTGAGGCAGCCAGAGAAGCAGTGACTGATCCCTTGGCATGGAGGGGAGAAGGCAGGAGAGCTAGGAAAAGGAAACGTACAATGATATTGCTTGTCAAACCAGGCTTGGGGAACCACCCTTCACATATTGGGCCATGCAGCCTCACTACTGTCCTGGGTGGAGGGGTATTGTCCCCGCTCCACAGGTGAGAAAGCAGGCTTTGAGTGACTTGCTTCAGGCTATCTCTAAGTGGTAGGTTGGGATTCACATCCAGATGTGTTAGCATCAAAGTTTGAGCTTTTTCTTCCTTGAAGTAATGGAATCAAGGACTCTGCAGCCAGAGGCAGATAAGTACAAGGGTGAGTGGTGCCCTCCCCAGTGGCAACCAGCACCTCTGGCCTGACAGAAGCCCCAGGAAGGTGTGTTCTGGCTACCGAGGTGCTGGTAATGTTGGAGCAACAGGACAGAACATTGGAGATAATCCCTGGCATTCAGGATGTGTGAACCTTTGCCATGTCCTCAGGGAGTCTCCCATTGTTAAAGACTGAGGCACCTGGGAAAGGCACATTCTAGAAAGATCTTGATTCTGGCAGAGATCTTTGAGCATCAAGGGGTAAACTTCCTTTTCTGCTGGTGACCTCAGACTTCAGAGATGCTGGAAACATGAGCTGGTCGATTAGATGAACTCTTTGGGGACCAAAGATTACATGGACTGAGGCTCCCTTTGCCCCCTCCCCCACCTTCCTGTCTCAGCATGCACCATGCACACAGGAGCTCAAGAAAGCAGAGGCCTGGGGATAGCTGCTTCAGATTCTCCAGGAGCCACAGCCTGGGTTGAATTCCTCAGTTCCCACCATTCTCTGCACACCCGGACTGGAACTGTCATTCCTGTCACACCCACGGGCCTGTTCCCTTCACTCTGATTGACTTGACTCTTTGCTTCCACTTCACTTCCCCTCGTACCACAGCCTGACTTCTGAGGCTGCAGCCTGCTTTTCATTCCCTCAGCCTGATGCCTCCCATCGGGGCAGCCTGGTTTCCCCACATGCTCCTCTTCAGGCCAGAGCCATGGCTGCAGCCCAGTCTCTCCAGCCTGTCTCCCCTCTCCATTCCTGCTGCCTGCTTGCCCTCAGCCTGCAGCCTGCCTGTCAGTGCTCTCAGCCCTGCCTCCCTGCATGCAGCTTCCTCCTCGTCTTCTTCCCACACCTTGTTCTCCCACATCCACAGCCCAATATCCTTTCCCGCTTCCCAGGTTCCTCCCTGCCTGCAGCTCGGATCATTCTTTGCCTACGGCCTGGTTTGTCCCAGTCCCTCTTGGGCACATGACCATCGTCAGGTCAGGTGCTATAGGAGACACAGGGCTTATTCATCAGGGCCCTGGTCATTGGGGGGACAGGAGTGAAAACAGGGTGAAGGGTCCCTAGTAAGCCCTTCTTAAGTCACAACTTATGACAGCACCTGTCTCCACTGATCCCTAGGCTATTCATCCTTTTGTGACCTCATAGGGAGTCCACTAATCCCCCAAGTTGTCCACCTCCCCTGGCCATCCCCTAGTTCCCTCTTGTTGTTGCTGAGGAGCCATGCCTGGGGTGTCTAGGAGCAATGGTGGGAAACAAGATGGGGTTGGCTCAATCTTTGACCCCCAGGTCTGGTTGTAAGTGAGTCCCCCTCCCCTGCCATTCACTCTGGTGCCACTGCTGGCTCCAGGGGTGCTTGGTGGGGGCAGGGCTTCGAGTGAGTGGCTCCCAGAGCAGGAGGAAGGCTCATTAGCTTGACCTCCAACCACCTCTTCCTTGGTGGGGGGGGTCATTGCTCCTGTCCCCCTGTCTTCGAGCCAGCCTGCTCCTTCCAAACCCAGACCCATATGCAGAGGTGGGGCCAGCGGTGAGCATGTCAATGACCTGGTACCCCTCCCCAGTACATTGGTCTTGCTTCCTGACCTAGACCATTGGGAAGTTCTTCCTGTGGTCTACTAAACAGCTGTTCTGCTTCAGCTTGAGTCATTGGCCTTCTCTCAGGGAGCCAAAGAGCTAGTATCTGCTGGCCTCACAGCCTTCTGTTCACACCGTCAACCCTGGAGCCTCCGTGGGGGCAGGGAGGGATGGGGGATAAATAACCCTAGACAAACAGACTCGAGCAACCAGCCGAAGTTCTCAGATCACACATACGTGTTCAGTTTGGTGCCAGAGGGTGATGTACAGACTTCTTCCTCTGGGCCTGGGACTCGCTGCTCTGGACTCCCATTGGGCAGCTGCCTCGGGGACTGAGGGTTGACTGTCTGATCTGCTGCAGGGAGAGAGGCCTGGGGGCTTCACTGGGCTGGATTGTGACCAGGGAGCGCTTTGTCAGGAAGGATTCCTGGTGCTGGGATGCAAAGGGGGCTGGGTGAGGGAGGAGGGAGGTACCTAGTTAGGAGAAGTGCCCCAGCATTCACCCTGACTGACCGAAATATCCTCTCCCTCCACCCTCCCCCTCCCCTAGAGTCACCGTCCTGAGAAGGAGTGGCCCCTGAAAAGCCTCAAAGTCTACTTGGGAGTGAAGAAGAAACTCCGGCCACCCACCTGGTGAGCTGGACCTGGGGAGATAGGTTTGCAGCTGGGGTCTGGGGGGCTCAGAACAGATGGGGAAGGCATATCTGGGGGCTTTGAACTTGATGGGTTGGTTCAGTGGTTCTGAAGGTGTGGTCTCCCAAACCAGCAGCATCAGCTTCACCTGGAAACACTTAGAAACTTAACTTCTGGGGTACCACCCAGACCTGCTGACTGTGGATCCAGAGGCTGGGACCAGCAGTCTGTGCTGTAACAGCCGTTCAGGGAAGTCTGATACTTGCTCATGTTAGAACCACTGGTCTGGATTAAAACCCTATCACTGACGATCCCTGGGACCTTTCTGGGCCCCACTTCCCACATCTGTTGAATGGGAAAAACAATGGTACAGTTGTTTCAAAGGGTGGTTGTATGTTTTCAAAAATTGAAAAATGATGCATAGCCATTATTATTGTTATTAATTTAAGGAGCCATCAGGCTTGGTGTTCTGACTTTCTCCTCTCATCTTCTAGCTGTGCCTGGTTTCATCTGAGGGACTAGGCAGGCCTGGGGTGGGCCCGGGGGGCTGTGAGAGGAGAGGCAGTAGCTAGGATATGCTACTCCTGTGAGAAGGCCCTCAACTCTGCTCCCAGCTCTGGCCCGTGCTTCGGTGCTCTATCCTGGGGACTGGGCTGTGAGGCCTCTGGGGGCTATCAAGTGACCCCACTCACCCCCCTCCACAGCTGGGGCTTCACTGTGGTGCACGAGACAGAGAAACACGAGAAGCAGCAGTGGTGAGCGAGACCTCGGGCTGTGGAGAGATTGTATAGCCTGCCCCCCTTGAATGGGTCCCTCTCACTGTCCAGACCTATGCCCTGCCCTGAACCCTGGGCCAGGGAGGTGGGCAGGGTGTTCCCTGCTTAGCCTGGCCCTTGGTAGCATCCAGACCTGTGCCCCACCCTGCAGGTACCTCTGCTGTGAGACGCAGATGGAGCTCCGGGAGTGGTTTGCCACCTTTCTCTTTGTGCAGGTACGAGGTGTAGAGTGTGGGGGTGGGTGTTGGGTGGGGTCCCGAGCAGGCGTTCATTGTGGTGAATGGGACATTTGCTTCTTCACTATTTAAGCCACCAATTCTTCAAGCAAATTTTGAGTTGCTTTTAATTCATGTTGTTTGTTCCTTTACTCATGAAACCCTTCCTGGTACCCACTGTGGTTCATCCCAGAGCCAGGCATGCTAGAGACAAAGGGTGCAGACCCCTGTCCTTGGTTGAGTGTGTGGGGAAGGCAGCAGGGAGAGGATGTCGTGGGAGCTGAGTCTTTGGGGATGAGTGAACAGTCAAGCAGAGGTGGGGGGGTGCTTCTAGGCAAAGGGAACAGATTACTCAAAGGCATGACAAAACGACTACAGATCGTCCAGGGGGGTGTAAAAGGAGAAGACGCTGGCACTGGGAAGGGGGTCAGGAGCAAAATCTCAAAAACCCTCGAGGGCCATGCCAAGGAAGCTGAACTTGACCCAGTCAGCAGTTTTAAGGGAGCATGTTAAGCAAGAAAGAGTGGTGTGTAGGTTTGAATTTGAGAGGGCTCACTCTGGGGGTGGCATACAGGGGAGGATGGACCATGGGCCTGAGCCTGGAGGTGAGGCGTCCAAGGAGGTGGCTGCTGCAGTGGGTTGGTGTGGGGCGCAGGCTGGGACTTTGAGCAAGGTCAGAGGGGTTGGACTTAAAACAGAGGTCTTTATCCGAGAGCTCAGAATTGTTTAGGGAGAAGGGAAACAATACTGTACTAGGGCCTGGGCTGAGTCCTTTTAGTAGTCAAAGCCTAGAGGGAAACGGTAGATTCTGTAGTTTTCCTGGTTCCTGGTGAGAGGATGCAGGCGTTTGGTGCTTCGTTCCTGGAGCAGTTTGTTTGTGGACCGGGAGATGGGAGTTGTTGGGTAACATAACTGGCTGGGTTTTGCCAGGACTACAGTCATGTTCTCCTAACAGCTGCTTCTCATATCGGCTGGGATCAAAGCTGAGGGTGTCACCTCAGATCATAGCTGGAGTCATTTCTGGGAAAGGTGGGTGGATCTGGAGCTGAGTGTTTGGGCCAAAGCTGAGCCCAGGTCTCAGCACCCCTCTTCTTCCCTGCTCCCCAGCACGATGGCCTGGTGTGGCCCTCAGAGCCCTCACGTGTTTCCCGGGCAGTGCCCGAGGTCCGGCTGGGCAGCGTATCGCTGATCCCCCTGCGTGGCACTGAGAATGAAATGCGCCGGAGCGTGGCTGCCTTTGCTGCCGACCCCCTTTCTGTGAGTGGCTCTCCATCCCTATGGGCAGGGGGCTGGGGGTCCTGCCTGGAGCCACCTTCCATCTGACTCACCTCTGCTTCTTCTCTCTGAGTGCCCTTGGACCCTGTTCCTCTGTCCTCAGTAGGAGTCCTGGCAGGCCCATTTGGGTCACATGGGTCATGGGAGCCCCTCTCCACCTGGCCACTGGCCCCTGTGAGCCTTCACAAAGTGCTTATGAAATCTGGGCTTCTGTGTCTTCCCACAGCTCCTCAGAAACGCGTGAGTGCGGGAGCCAGCCCCTGGCTCTGGGATTCTGCTGCCTGGAAGCCTCCTGTTCAGACACCCTCATGCCCTGCGTGCCTGCTGTGAGCCAGCAGAGGGCGCATGAGGAAGCCGCACCCCCACATTCCACATCCAGAGGACAGCATGGGGTTCCCTGGCTAAGGGGTGGGGGCAGCAGGGTCTGTCTGAGGAGGAACCCCTCACCTGCTCTGTCCAGGTGCTCAGCCCTCCCGGCCTGGTCTGCTCCCTCCCAGGGTCACCCACCCTGAGTTTGAAAGGTTGGAAAGATGGACATCAATCAGGAACTCTGGAGGAACACCATCCTTTCAGAGGCTCGAGGCTCTGGGGCCCCCGCTGGATGGGAGCCTACCCCTGCTGGAAGGGAGCCTACCCCCTTGCACAAAAAGCAAAAAGCCGATACTCTAAAAGAACACTGAGCTGGGGCGGGGAGGGAGCTCTTGGGTAAGTTTCTGCAGGGCCGAGAGGTGGACTTGGGGGACTCAGCCCCTTTTGGTAGGGGCTGACTGGGAGGCCCAGGTCGCCTGGTACCCTTTCCCCACTTTGGGGACCTTTTGATACTATAAATATATCTGTATATTTTATTCTATGGTGCGAGGCCTGTGATCGGTTGGGGGTTTCTGGTGTGGTGGTGGAGGAGGAGACGAGATCAGGGGGCCCAGAGGTGAGTGCCAGTGCCCTGAAGTCCAGGGACCTGGGCTCTGCCCTCTCGAGGCCACTCCCCCCGTCCCAGGCAGAGCCACAGCCTGGCTTCGTGCCATCCCCACTGTACTTCTGTGCAGCCAGGGTGGGGAGTGCTGGTCCTGATCCTGGCCAGGACATACCCCCCCATCTGGACTGAGCCCTCTATTCCTGAGCAGGAGCCTAGATGTGGCAGGGGAGTGACTCAGGACACCCCCTTACCAGCTCCTCTGAGACATGAGGTCACAGGAGCTTTATTAAATTAGGAAGAAGGGTCTCAGAGTACTCTGGGCCCTGTGCAGATCCCTCCAGAGGTGAGTCCTGCCTTGCATTGGGAAGCTGCCCTCACTGGGCACTGCCTGGTCATTTCCTCCCAGAAGACAAGGCTCTGGCAAGTGGAGGAGATAACGAACTGTTCAGAGATGGATTCGGGACTCCCTGGGAAGATGGCAGACACCACATTCCCACCTCAGCCTAGTCTCATTACCGGCCTCTCTCCAGGGGCCCAGTGGGCAGACAGGCTGCCCTCTCAGCCCAGTCTCAGCAAGTGGGGCTCAGAAAAGAGATGGAAGATGGGTCACATGACCTCTGACTTGTGATTCAGCTCAGTGTGCTGGCCTGGGTGTGGGTGGAGATCTTGGGAACCTGGACTCCAGGTTCCTTGTTCCTTGAGAAGGGGAGGTAGATGCCAGGAGACTGCAATGGGTCACTGGCCAGTTTCACAGGCTGGGGCTAAGCCCCTTGAGTCTTCGACTCTTGTCCTACCCTAGGTGGGCTTCTCCAGGCCAGGCTGACCATTCCACCTACAGCCAGGACAGACTCCAGGTGCTCAGGGGCTGGAATCTTCCCCGGACCTGACCTTGGACTGAAGCTCAGAGAGAGGGTGGGTGAGACTGGAGTCTGCCCCTCAGCTAAGTTGCCAGTGTCACTGCCCTGGCTGCGGCGCTGGCTGCAGTGACTGCATTGGGCCACCAGGGAGCAGCCACAGCTCAACGTTGGGTCTCACTGTGACCATTTCCACCACCCTACTTTGGAGCAGTCTCCCTCCAAATGCCTTCCCTTAAATCTAACTCTGCTCTCTCTTCTAAGTGGCCCCACTTGTTCTCTGGAGAAGGGGATCTGAATTGAAAGGAGTTTAAAGTGCTTTTGCTTGGCCTCGGGAGGCTTTAGGGCCTCAACCTTAATGAACTATGGCAGTAACAACAGTGTTGGGTGGATTAGGGCAGGAGGCTCTGCCGGTCTCTGTCACAAGGATTCCTAGACATAGGGCCTCCTGAGAGGTTTGTTCACATAGTATTTGAGGTTGGGTTGGGGGGTGTGGCTGAGGAGCCCAGAGCTGGACCTGCTGAGGGGTGGGGAACAGCTCTTGGAGAGAGAGGCAACTTCTTGTAAGAGAAGGTGCCCCTGAACTGGCCTTGAAGACGGGTGCACCTGGGGTAGGTGGGACTTGGAGTGGGGCTGGGTTGAAGTGTTTGGGGAGGAGGATAGGCCTTCAAGGGTCAACTCAAGTCTGGGTCTAATTGCAAGGGACCACAGGGTGCCCTGGGAGAGAAAGCTGTGGCAAGTCAGAGGGCGCTGTGGATGGAAAGGAGGCTGAGGGCAGGTGTGGGAAGATCTGGGTGGTGGGGTGGGATGTCTGTCTCTCTCTTCCATCACCTTCCTCAGCCTACCCATTCTACAAAGCATTCAGCAGCTATCAAGGGTCTCTGGGCCTCAGGAGACCCCTGGGCTCCACAGGAAATCAGTGGGGGAGGGGAGGGGAAGATGGGTCCCAACTCCTCTCTTCTCCCTGATCTGGACAGAAAGGAGGCTGGAGCTGAGGTCTTCTGTCCTGACCCCATGCTCTGGTGGCTCCCAGGCCCCCTGTCCACAGCTGGTTTTGGAAAACTGTGGGTGTGGATGCCAACTGGGTGGTGCCGGCACTCCCATCTACAAGCTGTGGAGCTGTGGCTGATCCTCGGTGCTCTCATCTGGACTGTGGAGACATTACTAGTACAGACACACCTCACTTCACTGCACTGTGCTGTATTGTGCTTCACAGACATTGTGTTTTACAAATTGAAGGCAGACCCTCCACCAGCAAAAAGATTACAAGTCACGAATTCACAGTAGCTCCTGGGTATGCCTGTACCTACTAATGGGAGGATAAATGAGCCAATAAGTGGAAGTACCTAGCACTGTCCTCAATTATCCCCTTCCCAAACATGTCTGGGGGACATCATGGCATCCAGAATCCTCTCCAGGCCCCATATATTTTCATTCAGTGAGCACTTCTTGAACACCTACTGTGTGCAGAGCTTTGAACACTTAGTGGGAGCAGATGAACAGATGGCATGGGGGAAGGAGGAACCCTTCTTTTGGGGGGTATTGATCAAGACTCCACGGATGAAGTGAGGCTAGAAAACAAGTGTATTACTGCAGGTGGAGTTGGGAGGGAAAGGCATCTCCAGGATGGGGAATGGCATGAGCCAGAGGCAAAGCAGTGTCACTCTGCGGTGAGCAGCCTGTTGTAGTTCAAGCTGAGTGCCCCGGAGCCCTCCAGGGCCTGTCCCCCACGCCCCTGCGGTTGGAATATTTGCCTGTATCACCTACCTCTTACATATGACCAGAACTGAGTCAAATGGGCTGTTTGGAGTCTTTCCCCACCTGAAAAATGAATAGTTTTCTATTCTTTTAGCCAGCTCTGTAACCTAAGTGACTGAGACCTTGATCTGGGGAATGTCTGTCTGTCTCTCTCATACACATGTAAGTACAGCTAGCATGAACCTCCCAACCTCTCTTCCAATGTGACACCTCCTTCAGGAAGCTCTTTTGGGTTGCTCTGTATTCCTACTGTACTGAGTGCACTTAGGGTATGTGTGCATGCCCAGGTTTCTGGCACTCTGCTAGGAGCCGGCCCAGGGTTTCCTGGTCAGCCCCAGCTGGCCCAGCCCTAGCGTGTCCCCTCTTCCATGCCACTTTCAGTCTGGAAATTTCCGCACTTTCTCTGCCCTGGTTACAGCTCCTATTGCTGTATTTGTCACCCTGGAGACACTGGCACAGGCGCACACATGGCACACACACACTTGCCCTGCACACACGTGCCTACACACACACACACTCTGCACGTGTATGAACGCCCACACACAGCTCTCTAGGAAAATTGCCCCCTCCCTCCTGCTGCTCCTCCTCCACTCTGTCCTCCCACCACCACCCACCACGTAAACACAAACGCCAAAGCCATGGGCTGGCCGGTGCCTCCCACCACCTGTCAGCCTGGGAGGCAGTTCCCCCTCCTTGACTGTAGTGTGTTCTCCTTCCCTACCGCCTGCCTTTCCCCCTCCAGTCTGTCTCCCCAGCTCTTTCTATCCTTCCCTCTCTCTGCCACTTCTCTCTACTCCTGTGTATCTCTCCCCCCACTTCACCCTGAGTCCTCTCTTTGCCACTTTTTCGACCCTCTGAGGTGGAACCTGTCCTTCCTCCCTATTCTCCCTGCTGAGGGGCTCAGGACCGGGACCTCACAAGGGCTGGTGGAGACCTAGGGACAGGCCAAGGGGTCCAGAGGCCTGAACCTCCTCAGCTCCTGTCACTTTCTGTCTCTCCTCCTTAGTGAGGGGAGGTCCATGTGCCAGACACCATGGAGACCAGTGTCATGGCAACACAGCCCTGGTGGGCACAGCCTGCCTTCTGGGAGGGGCCCCATAGTCCCCTAGGAGGAACTGCCACGAGGTCCTGAGGAGGTGGGCCTTGTGCTGCTGCCAGCACTGGCCGCCACCTCCCCTGGGACACCCCACGCTGACTGACTACCTGCACTGCAGCTCCTAATGCCTCAAACACCTGAGGGCTCACGTATAGACTGAAGACCAGAGAGCACAGAGGCTTGTCTGGGGGCACACAGCAAGTCTGGCCTAGCTTCCAGGTCAGCAGTCACTGGGTCAAATAGGATCCTGCCCTGGCTGCCCTGGGAGGTCTCTAGCCAGTCCTTAGTGTCATCATCATAATGATACAAATAACACTGCTATTAGGCCATTGGGAAGTGTCCACCACATACTGGGCTAAGGCTTTGCATGTGTCATCTTGTTTCATTCTTGTAACCAACCCTTTGAGGAAGATACTCCATTTGTTCCCATTTTGTGTTTTATTTTCTCATCCTCACCCGTGTACATTTTTGCACTTATCTTCAGATAGAGCAGGAGGGAGAGAGGGAGGCAGAGAGAGAGAGAAACATCCATGTGAGAGAGACACACCAACTGGCTGCCATCCACACGACCCCAACCAGGGCTGGGGACAAACTGCGACCGAGGTACGTGCCCCTAGCGGGAACCAAAGCCAGGACTCTCTGGTCCATGGGCCAGTGCTCTCACTGCTGAGCCAAACCAGCCTGGGCCATTTGTTCCCATTTTGTAGGTGACGGAAACAGGCATGGACTTGCCAATGTCAGGTGACTGATAAGTGGTGTAGCTGGGACAGGAACATGGGTCCTTCCCACAAGGCTTCAATGCCTAGTGCTCTCCCCAGCAAGTAGTCTTTCTCTGTATTAGTGGCAAATTGTGTTTTCAATTCTGTCTCGTCTTCTGGAGAGTTCACAGGGAAGGTCGGGCTCAGTGTAGGTCTGGCCTTTCGGGTTTCTGCAAGCCAGGAGGTTAGTTTTCTAAGAAGGTGGAGAGGGAACAGAGCCTTTCTAGTGTGGTTAGTCCCAAGGAAGACCTGCCTTGCAGTCTGGCAATGCAGAAACTAGCCCATAATCTCCAGGACCTTCAGGAATCATGTGTGAGCCCAGAGATGGCATGAGGAGACCCTGCCTCCCTGGCCCAGCCTATCCTTGCCTCCTGACCTTGATGGAGTCACATGTCAGCTCCCTCCCTCCTGGCTTATGTAATTATTCAAATATAGTAGCTGCCTGTATTCCACTCAGTCACACCTCCCCCAGCCCCAGGTGCAGAGTTAAGGGGGGGAGGTAATTAGGGGTAAGTGGGTGGCTCAGGGTCTCCCGGCAAGGAGGATCCTGGTGTTATGGATGGGAGGATGGTGGCAGTGGGGGACAGGCCAGGGCTGAGGTATAATATGACTTTTCCCAGAGTATGCTGCCACCGGGGCCACTTCTGCCCTAACCTAGTCCTTCTGAAATCCCACCTTCCCGGGGATCCCTCCCCAGGGTCAGAAGCTGTATCCACAGCCTTTGCGCCTGGGCCTTTGCCCAGCTGGGGGAGGTGAGGAGGGAGAGGTGGAAGATTATGAAGAGGAGAAGGCATCTGGTGGGGCACTGGCTAAAAGTCCCAGGTCCTAAGCCCAGCCCTGCCCTTTACCCTCATCTCAGTTTCCCCATCTGGATCATGAGGGATTGAAGTCTGCTGCATCTTATGCTGCCTGAGTCCTATCCCTGGAGAAGACCTTGATCTTACACAGAAGGCATTTCCAAGTGTCTGGTTGACTTCTCTCTCTGTTTCCCTTTCTCTGCCCACCCCAAGTCTGCCCATCCTCCCTGGGCTCATTCAGCCTCCACACCCCACCCACAGGGCAGTGTAGGCAAGAAGGGTCACTGGATTCTGGGCTGAGGGGCTAAGCTTCGGCTGCCTCTCCCCTCCCTAAACTTGCCATCTGTTTGACCACTTCATCCCCCTGCCCAGCAGAAATGAGGAGCCCACTACCCCCACCTGGGGTCATCCCTTCCCTCATAGGGCAGCTCTGACTACTGAAACCTCAAGCAGGTCCACAGTGCCTCAGCCCTGGGTTCTGGGTCTTCAGGGTCACCTTCCTGCAGTGTTGAAGATGCTACTCCACCTTAGAGTTGTTCTGGAGGCTGTGGTAGCCATTTGTTTCTTTGTCAGCAATGGCTTTGTCACCCATGGTGTGATGAGTTGTGTATTTAGTGTGGGAATGCAGGGAACTATGCCAAGCCCTTGCCAAGGACATGGGACTCCTCCAGCATTGTTCTTGGAGCTTCGGTTGGCACTTCCTGGCCAAGTAGGAGATGGAGAAGCACCATGAGATGTCTCCTGAGCTTTCCTCCACCCCGTTGCCAAGACCCAGGAGTGGGCCCATCCTGGCCCCAGTCAGAGGGAGTCACCCAGGGGTTTTCAGGCCAAACCTCCATGAAATTCATGTTCTGCAAATTACCAGCCTTCCCCTGGAGAGCTGAGGGCTATTTCATACTTTTGGCCTCAGTCTGCTCTGAGGAGGGTAGGTGTGAATTCCCATAGAGCAGGTCAGTGAGGCCCCCCTCCACATCACCTGTGCCCCCACATCCACCTGCAGCCTCTTAGGGCTTGCTCTCATGTGATCCTGGATTGAGCTCTGAAGTATGCCATCTCATTTCCACACTCAACTGTGTCTCCTTCCTACTTTCCTCCATCAACATTTCTCACTTGGACCTGGTGAGGCTGCTCAAAGGCTGGGGACCGGGACTGAGGTGAATAGGACCTTGGCCTGTCCTTGAGGAAAATGTGATCCAGTAGAAGAGATGAACCTAAGCAGGGAGATGAGGTGGTGGGACAGAATGCAAGTAGGGAAGGAAGAGGCAGCCAATGTCTGGTCAGTGCAGAACCCAGTGACCCCTCCTGCCTATCCTGTCCCCTGTTGGTTGGGGCAGGGTGTGTGCTGAACTGGCCAGAAAGAAGGGATGGACATTTGGGATAGACAGAAGAGGAGGAGAACAGTCAGTCTGGGAGAGGAAACAGACTGTACCAGGTGAAAGAGGAGGAAAGGAGTGGTATGTGCTTAGGGA